TTTTTAAAAATGATGTGCACCAGTCAGTGTGATGATAAAGAACCTATGATAAAAATTGGCAGGGCCCTAAAATGTTGGTGACCAGAACTGTGCTGTTGCATAGGAGCATGGTTAAGCTATTTAATTTCTAACCACACGCTCAAATGAAGCTTGTAGCCACCACTTCAACGGCCTCTGCAATGTTGGAAAAAAGTATGGTTAATGAGGGACTATTTCTATTCTAGAATGCTGAGGCAGACAGTAGGCACTGTTGCTTTTAACAATAGCGCCTTCCTGAGAGAGTGGCAATGAGGATTAGTATTGAGAAAATTGCACCGCATACATGAAATGATAATAAATGCTGGTTATTAGCATCAATGCATACATTTTTAAAAATGCACATACCAAAATGGAATTTTTGTTGGATCATAATTGTGAAACTCTATAATTAAGAATGCAGAGGAACAGAAGAATCAATGTCCCCTAGCAATGAACAGTTATTTGTCCAAATTCTAAAACATGAGGCAAAATATGTTTTGGGGTTGCTATTTGAGTGCATGTGGGCAAACACACTAATTCGTCCGAGATATATTTTTTCCAATAAGACAGAATATATCTTGTTTCCTTTTAAACAGAATTATAACCAAACTTTACACGGAATGGGTAGAAGTGGGTAGAAGGGTAGAAGATTCTACTATGCCCATTTGAAATTACTCTGGAGTTTCTAACTTTCCAAGGCTAGATTTTTTAGTTAAATTGGTACTGACATAACACTGATAATTGTTCAGTTTTAGGATTTTAAATTTGCGGTAAGGTTTTCTTCCATTATACTACTATAAATATAGGAGTCTAATCCTTAAAACACCTATAGAGATGGGGGGAGATTGTTTTATTTTTAAAATAAAATGTGAGGGGCGCCTGGGTGGCTCGGTCAGTCAAGCGTCCGACTTCGGCTCAGGTCACGATCTCACGGTCCGTGAGTTCGAGCCCCGCGTCGGGCTCTGTGCTGACAGCTCAGAGCCTGGAGCCTGCTTCGGATTCTGTGTCTCCCTCTCTCTCTGCCCCTCCCCTGTTCATGCTCTGTCTCTCTCTGTCTAAAAAATAAATAAATGTTAAAAAAAAAATTTAAAATAAAATGTGAAAATGGGGACAAACAATATATTTTAGACCCTACAAATAAAATTTGTAGACTTTTTTTGGTTCTCAGAAAAACAAATAAAATTCATACATTTTCTAACAAATAATTAGCACTTTCTAAAAAGGTTATGGATGCTGGTAGGAAGTCAGTAGCTCCCGCTTTATTCCCTAACTTGTTATGTATCAGTAGACTGCTCTTCAAATTTTTTGTCACTAAGTAAAACTCTACATGGACTATATGTATACTTCGGACATTTAAATATTCCTAAACATATTATTTTTTTGTGATTCACAACATATTTGTGAAACACCATATGCACTTCCAGAAGTCAAAAACAATGTACTGTTTTCAGGCATTCCTTTTAAAAAGAATCATTGATTATTTTATATTCAACCTCTTTGGAATGATGTGTGTCTGACCCCACAAAGTGCTGATTTGAAACCCCATATTACTTGTTCCTGCAACAAAGGCTATACACTGTGAACTGTTAAATGATCCCCAATATTTATGACATTCTTGGTTAAACGGGAAATGGGCTACTTGTCTAAATAATGCACAAGTCCACTTTAATAACACCTCACTGTGCCACCTTAGAAGTCGCTCTGCGTTCATTGATCAGTAAAAGAGAGACTAAAATGTTTTGAAATCTTAACACGGCTTTGTAATATTGTGTCTGAAAGTGGTCAGCAGAACAGGAATCGGTACGTGTTTCTCTCCTGAACTCCATATTACCATTTTTTTTTTCCCTGAACCTTTCAATTAAATCACTTACACCATTTAGGTAAGTATGGTATATGGTTTAAGTAGCAAGTACTATTAATAAGAGATTATCACTCGCTGATTAGATCATTAATACAAATATTCATTTATGTGTATGATCTGAGATCCATGGATTTTAGTTTGATGGGTCAATTTGATAGTGATGGTCTCAAATGGTTTGAGCAGTAGAGCAGGTGCAGTGACAAATTAGCTCACAGTGGAAATTATTCTCTTTATAGTGGTCAAAAAAGAGAATTGAGGGGAGTGTGAGTATGAATTTTAGGGAACTGGGGATTTCCTTTTGGGACCGTTTCATGCTCCCCCAAAAATGTTTTCCACAAGTGTACAGATTCCTCTGGGAAGCTTTTCTTCTTTATACCCATGAGTGTTAGGGGAAGAGAGAGAAGTCTCACTTGTCAGCTCAACAAAGTGAAACAACATGTACTAAAAAGTAAACATCTGGCATATACAATTTTCACAGTCATTTTGTGATGCTGTGCAAAGTGTATAGACCCCTCAAATCATACCTGATGTATTTACTTGTTAACTCTCATAAAAATTTATCCTGCAGCTAAGTCATATCAATGACTTATTTGACAACTGCATGGTATATTCTCTAAATTGCTTAATATTTATATTTTATTTCTGACAATGTTTTTGCTGCTATATTCAGAGTTACTAAACTCCAGGTATACTAGAGGTAAGTTACATTAAGTATGTAAAAAAGTTCCTGAGCAGATAGACCTTCTCACTTCCTTCTGAACTGAGTTTCCCCTAATATAAAGATTCTATCAACTCAATTTTATGTGATTAGAGTAAAGGGAATCACACACACAAACACACTCACACATACCCACATACACCCACACACACCCACACAAATGCACATAAAATAAATGTCTTGGTAGTTTCAGGTAACACTCTGCACAATTGTTTCAGTCTCAGAGCTAAACTGAGATCTTTATAATTGTTATCAAGCAGAGAAAAAGCATTATTTTCTATTTAATTTTTCTTATCACTTCCAATAGAGGTTTTAATGAGCAAAGAAATGGTCAATATGCAAGTGAAAGAGACAAACAGCACGTTTAATTCATATAGTAGAAAGAAAGGTTCCTGAATAATCAAGAATTTAGTGAGACAAAATATACAGAATGAACTTCCTTTGATACTAGAGTTCATAAAGAGTTAGAGTCTCAGAAACAAAATTATTCCGAAGATTGTTTTGCAGTCACATCACATTAAATGTGCTGCTTTAATGAGTTCCCTTGTAGAATACAAAGATAATTTTATGAGTTTATTATCTCATCTTAATTCACCTGATATGTTTAATAGCAGAAATCTGGTTACTGATTAACGTAAGGAGGAAAAATAAATGGATATAACAAAAATTTAAATGTTATAATTTATTCTTAAATGCATTGTTATTCAAGTTCTCTTAATTCAACACTGCAACGTGATTTATGCATTGGAGATATATAATTTTCAGGAAATCCATAAAAGACAAAGAGCAAACCCTATTAGTGTATCTAAACAATGCAGTTGTTTAGACTGGGTGAGCACCAGGGAATAGAACTACGATGCACTGGCAAATGAGAATACCCACGAGAAAGAACACTATCTCTGATTCCTCATTTCACACGTACGAACTTCCTTTTATGGTATTAAGAAGTGACATTTACAACCCTTGTTCTAGCTAAGTTTCTGAGAAAGTATCATACCAGCTTCTTCACCATCTTACCACCAATGGGCTTTGATTTGTTTGTCCTTTCATCTCAGTTCTTCGGTGAAAGATAAGAGAAAATCAGAATGAGTTATCTATAAGGCTAAAATAAATATAATAAATATTAAATTGTTTATAAAGATTTTATTAATTTTAGTACTTATTCCAAATGTTTAAATCCTACAGTTGTGTAAATGAGAGATTACTGGAGAAAATTATTTCTATGAAAATAGGGAGGCTGCTTCTCAAGGAAAGTACCAGTTTATTATTTTATACGATGTGAAAATGCCTATTGGATTAGTCTATTATTTTATACAATGTGAAAAATGTTTCTTGGATTGGTCTCTAACACAATCATCCGTAAGACTGTAATGATAAGAAGAGTTCTTCATTATCTTTAACTCCAAATACGTCAACATGCGTGTGTGCGTGTGGTGCGCACGCGTGCACACGCGTGCGCGCGCGCACACACACACACACACACACACACACGCACACCTCTATCCATAGCCCACAACCTAGCAGTCTATGGAGAACTGTGCTAATAAGAACTAATGAAAAGACCATAATAAATAGCTGCTAGTACAACGAGACCACTATTACATCATTATCTGATTTAATGGGCTATAAGTGATGTATTTTATTCTTTGCCTTTATCTAAAGTTTTAGTCAAATTGTCTCAGATGTGTAACTTACATGATTATATTTAGAGCTATACTTACAAATTCTGCAAGAAACGTTTATGTATTCCCAAGGCGGTCACTCTTAGCCATTCATAATATGAATTATTTCCAACGCATTCGATTAGCTAATTTTTACTTTAATGCCGGTGTGCACATGCATCTACTTAAGAAGTGGCTCATAGATAAGGTACCAATGAGTCCATGCAAAGACAATCCTGAGTATAAGTTGGTATTTATGACTACATTACACTTGTTAGGAGTTTGCTTTCTGTTATTTATAAGACTACAAAACAAACAAACAACAATTACAGACAATTTTGAAGTGCAATTACTTGCAGAGAGTCTTATTTCTTTGATAGCAATGTAGTCAAATATTACATCTCTAAGATAATATTATATTATCTGCCTAAACAAATTAGCAATATCAAAGTTTCCGGCTGCTAAGTATTCTCTCTCTCTCTCTCTCTCTCTCTAATTAAAAATCGACAACACAAATGCATGCAGTTTTGAAGTTAAATTGCTTCTCCCCAAAGTATTTACTTTAGCAATACGACCTCCCAGCTGAAGAATGAAGTCTGGAAAACGAGGACAAGAAGTTGTAGCAGTTGTTAGCAGGAAGCAGGGATGGGTAGATAATTTTACACAGGTGGTTGATGATTGATGGAGGTGGAGGCATTTTTAGGAGGCATGGATGGTGAGGATTTGGGAAGAAACACTCTACCTGTGTAGCCCAGCGAATTGTCATCATTATCAGAGGTGGGGACGGGCGTCCCGTTGTCGTTCCCCCTCTCTAGGTCTTCAGGGTCTGTCGGAAACAACACCAGAGCTGCTGATGGGGTCACAGTAGTAACAGTAGTTGCCATTTCGATCACAGCATGTCCAGACACAAGCAAATCCACATGTGACAGAAAAACACACAGGGACAACACACAGCACACTTCCTCCCTGCCCCTCCTGCAGCACACTGAGCCGCACGGAGGTCTCAGCATCATGGCTTACGGTCTCTACTGCTTCTCCTTAATTTCCCTAATTCTCTTCTCTGCCTGCACCTTTGCTGCACTTCAAAGCTGGCGGAGGGCTCTGACTGCCCTCTGTGAGGCCGCCAGCACGGACTGAGGGAGCATATGGAGGAGGGAGAGGGCAGGGTGGCTGAATGCTAGCATTGCTAATTTTCCACCTTATTGTTAATCAAAGCTATTGACTGTGATCACTCCCCATCATCGCTTCATCTCCTGCCAATTACAGACTCAAGGGACTGTACCTCATATGGGTGGGGGGGGGGACAGGGTGTGGGGAAAAATAGGGTCTTGTCAAATAAGAGGGTGGATTATAAAAATGTCATACTTTTCTTAAGCAACAGCAAAGAAAGCAGTGCAACATCACATCCTTCAGAAGGCAACACTTTATCATCTTAAAGGAAGGAGATGAATTTACTGAAACAAATGCATAAGTAAAACAACACTTAACTTTGAACGTTTGGGGCTGGATATTTTAAAACATTCCAAATTGCTCGAGATTCTGTATTACAGTCATCCAGATAAGTATTTTCATTCATCTATTCTGATTTTTCTTGAGTGAAAGAAACGCTTTTTATGCTTTTCACACTGCACGTTCATTTTCCAATGTAGAATTTTAGAAACGAGGCCAAGCAAAATGACACTAAAGTTCTAATATCCAGAAGCTGAGTTGCATTATAAATACACACGGAAGCCCAACGACACCACTACTAATTTCACTTGTGCTCAGTCACTGTACATATCATATTTATGTGTGTTAGATAAATATGAGCAGAATATCTAGCTTCATTGCTGATAAGCGGACACAGACACAATAAAAGCTAAGTGTGTACCTCCTAAGTGGAATACCGTCGCGTCATAGGTCATTCATGTTGAGGTGTTCTGCAGGCTTCTCATCACCTTAAATAGCGTCTACACAGAATTCCTTGGTCTGAGCAGTGAAGGAGCACAGCTGTTTACTTGAGGAAGAAAGTATGTCACTTATGAACGAGGCAGCGAGTATGTGCAGGTAATGCCTCTCCAGAAACATCACAGGGGTTATTAATTCTGTGTCCCTGCTAGTTTTTTCGGCGAGGTTGATCCATTTTGTCCTACACACAATTCTTCAGGGAGGATTAAGAATTTTTTAAAAGAGGATATAAAATCTAACGTGGGTCACTTTGTGACTTTTTGCATGTAGTATATCTATCCACTCTGTCTCCCCGTCTCCCTTCCTCTCCAGCTCATGGGTCATATAATTAACCTGCTGTGGCTTACACAAAGGAAAAAAAAAAAGGTATGGATATCTGCAGACTAAAGAAAAAAATGCTGGTTATTGCTCTATTTATCCTTGCCTTTCCAGCAATAGCTGTTGTCCTATTTATCCTTAAAGTCAACTCAGGAAGTGGTATAGCAGGGAAAGGGTCTCCTTTCCACGCCTCCAGCCTGTAACCTATTTGTATGCATTAGTTGTTTAGGGCAGAGATTTAAGTCACATCAATAAAAGAGAATGGGAAACAGGTTTGTGTGTGTGTGTGTGTGTGTGTGTGTATTTTGTGTCAGTGTTAGCACAATGTTCTGCCATAAACGAAGTAACCTTACTCAAGCAAACTAACCAAATAAAAAAGGTTGATACAGGAAGATAGATAGAAGGTTCTGGTTCACATGTATTAAAAGACTTTTAAGGACACCTTCCCTGCTTACCCACAATATTGTTTTAAAAGATATGAAGTGTTTAGGGTCACCTTAATTTTACAGACTGATCATTTTTAGTTGCAAACACAGTTTTTCAAAGAAAGAGCTACTTTTAATTTATGATGGAATAGTTTATTGAATGTAGATACACACATTTGTAATCACTCTGTTAAAAATAAGATAAAAATCTATCCAAACCCACAGCATGAACTCAGTTTGAATATACAGTATCATGACTTTTGCACCTTTGTTACTGAATGTTCCCTGAAACTGAGGACATTTGTTCAAAAGCAGTAGGGTAGGGATGAGGAAAGGAAGTTCACGGTCATTTGAAACGAGATACATAGATCTGTTAAAAGTAGGATTTTTCACCAATGTCTAATTTACCCTGAGTGTTTTTAAAATTTGCTTTCCTGTCCCCACCCATCACCCTTCTGACCCCTGCTTACGCTCAGGGAAGAATAGACTTCGCATTAATCAATGAATCTAACCATATCTATAAAACGCATTCTATCTAACCAGTACTGCCTTTAATTAACAATATGCTACACCTATAGAACAAAAGATGTCATTTTTACTAACTGCTCTCAATTTTTCTTCCTACTCCTTCCTGTCAAAAGATAATTGTAACAGGAAATAGTCACTTGACTCACTGCACATGAGCTTTAGGACTAATTTAAAGAGAGCCCAAAAAGTATTTACTTAAATGTTTTGTTGAATAGTATTGATTATGTGAGCCACGGTAAAGAATACAAGGAGGCAATAGATTATTTAGTGCTTACAATGTCTGAAGAAGTCTTTCTTGTGCCCCAAGTCTGAATTCAGGACCCTCCAGATTTGAATTGATGTAGGCGTGGCTGCAACTGATGAAAGCCACCGTAACATCTAGAAATGCACTGTCACTAAGGGTGCCGGGTTCTATGTGCCTGACACCCCCATTAGACTGAATTCCCCAGGGTCAGGTAATCTGTCTGCGTCACACTGGTACACCCACCACCTTACACTGGGGCTGCAACATTCTATGGGCTTAAACAGTTTTTTTTTCCTTTAAGATAATAAATGAATTAATGAACAGATGGTAACCAAGAATGCAAATCTCACTTAAGTAATAGACTCTCAATCTGAAACAACTTGAAAATATAAAAGAGTTGTTACAAATTAACTCAAATGCTAATGTACTCCCTATATATCCAGTATCTGTAAAGGCATATAAAACATCTTTGCAATATAAAAGGAAGTCTTAAATCATAAAATCATAGACGGTCATGGTTGGAAGTATGTCAGATGGACCTTTACTAGATGTTCCATCAATATTCAGATTCTTCTGAATTTAGTGGTCATTTGGCCTTTAGTGCTTTTAAGGCAAGCAATTCCAATTTCACAATTAAGTGCTTTCTTTTATGTTCGATTTTTTTTTAAAAAAAGATGTTTTCTAGATTCTAATTCTAATAGTAACCTGGTGGGCTCAAAAGAACTAATATTTCATCTGTGAAAGCCTGTTTCCTTCCCAGCCCTCCGTAAATGCTTGTGTTTCATAGGGCTCCAGATTCACCCTTTTGTTCTTCAACATGCTTCATCGAGGCTTATGACTAAAACTATTTGTTCTTTCTTTTTTCTTTTTAATAAGATGATGTAACTTCCACATTTCTTACTTGGATGCCTAAATGACCAAATCTCATGTCTACTGCTTATGTGACTTTATGAGGATTCCAAGAAACCTCACACCTTCTCTCACTAAACCCTGAATGCATCCTCTTTTCCTTCCACCTACTCCGTTCCTATATTTCCTATCTACATGAAGGAAGCCATCACTGTATTATATTTTTAATATTTTACAATTCAATGGGATGTTAGTATCTGGGGTTAAAACTGAACTCAGGGGTGCTTGGGTGGCTCAGTCAGTTAAGTGTCCAAATCTTGATTTCGGCTCAGGTCATGGTGTCGTGGTCAAGGGATCGAGCCAAAGGTGGAGTGTGGAGCCTGCTTGGGATTCTCTTTCTCGTCCTCTGCCCCTCTGTCTCTTCCCTTCCCCCCTCTCAAGTGCTTTCTTGCTTGCTGTCTTTCTCTCTCAAAATAAGTAATAAAAAAACATTTAAAAATAAAAAGCAAAAACACTGAATTCTTATTCCACAGGCCTATTGTTATGAATTTTTCTACATGATTTATTTTTATTTTTTAAATCCTTTTTGGGGGCGCCTGGGTGGCGCAGTCGGTTAAGCGTCCGACTTCAGCCAGGTCACGATCTCGCAGTCCGTGAGTTCGAGCCCCGCGTCGGGCTCTGGGCTGATGGCTCAGAGCCTGGAGCCTGTTTCTGATTCTGTGTCTCCCTCTCTCTCTGCCCCTCCCCCGTTCATGCTCTGTCTCTCTCTGTCCCAAAAAAATAAATAAACGTTAAAAAAAAAAAAATTTTTTTTAAAAATCCTTTTTGGAGGTAGTTGTATGCCAACTTAAACCTATAATATGTAAAATTTTATATAGAATTATGCATAACCATACAATATACATATTATTTATATAGGACATATGATGTATGAGTGGGCCATCTTGTAATGGTCTTTTGCAGCTTTAATAAAAGTGACAACAACGACAAAAAGGAATAAGGATATATAACTTCCTTTACGAGGGAAATTATGTCTTTTAGGAAACTTTATCCTTAAATACAACAATTTATTAAAGGTGATACAACTTTATTTAATGGTAAATTACTTGTAAATTTGAAATTTGTTAATCTGTATAATACTGCTTTTATTGAGATTTCCCCAACCCCTATATCAAATTATAATGGAAACTCTGAATTGGAAAAATCATTGTATTGCAACCTCTGATAAAATCGTTCATATAATCACCATCAATAAGCACTAAATCTATCAGGTGAAAATGGTAGGAGACAGCATATTTCACAGTGTCAAAGTATCACCCCAGAGATTATTTGCTAACTGCAGAGGAGAAAATAAACTTTTATAATGGTTATACCTGGCAGTCACCACTTGAACTCAGTAATCAAAGTTAGTATCACCAATGCTGAGTAAATAAGAATGGGAAGGTAATTGTGTGATGGAATATACAGCACCGCCTATGAAGCATCCACACTAACAATACTTGCCCTGAACTTAATCGAGACTTGAGACCCAACTTAAATCTACAGAAGAAGAAAATATATGTCCCTTAGCATG